GGGGGGGGGGGGGGAATTCTTGTCTTGGATTTGAGTGTATATGGCAGGGGTGGGCAAAATGGCGGATCCAGCCAGCAACCAGACTCCATTTCCCAGCAGCCCTGCCCACGTCACGGCTGGTTTCCATGGAGCAGTATAGCTGTGACAGTGCATGGCCAGGGTTTCCTTGGAGACTGGCCCAAGCAATGTTGGCTGGGCGGGGGGCTGCTCTGTGGCTGGGGCCAGGGTTTTGCAGCTGTAAGTGTGGTCCAGGGCTGAGGCAGAGCTGCGATTCGTTGCCTGAACGCTCCACCAGGGCAGAGCCACAATCTGCTGCCTGTACCCCCTTGCTTGAGGTGTGTGGGCAGCAGATCTCAGCTCTACCGTGGCTCCAGCCCGTGCTGTCACTGCCATAAGATCCCCGCCCCAGAGCAGCTCCCTGCCCAGACGCATGACTTGCCAGCACTGCTTGGGCTGGTCTCCATGGAAACCCTGGCCCCGTGCTGCCATGGTGCTGCTGCTGCCGAAGTCTCCAATGGAAGCCAGCCACAGCAACACGGGCAGGCGCTGCTGGGAAATGGAGTCTGCTGTGGGCCCTCACCTGCCCCAGGTATACGGTAATCTTTATAGATCCTGCTTTTTCTCAAATCTATGTGGTGTGGGTTGTTTTTGTGTTGTCATTTAATGTTCATAAGTAAACTAAATGTGCTGTCCGTTTGGTCTCAGTATCTTGTGAGGAGAGAAACTAGATTGTTTTTAGACCCACTTGAATTCATGCTGTAGGGAAATGTCTGTTATCCATTAATAAGTCTGTTACTAACTTTAAAAATAGCAAATTATCCTTCACAAGTAAGACTTGAAATGCATGTCCAAGGGGGTATGTTTATATAGCTTGAAAATTAAAGTCTGGATCTTGCTTACAGGTAGAGAGCTCCACAGATCTTTTGTACATGCCGTAGCAGCAGTTTAGATCAATATAATAGCTATTTAAAAATGCTCAGCAATGCATATGCAGGTACAAAACTGTTCAATACACCTTTGTAATGGTGTCTTTCATTGAAGGACCTGAAAATGTTTTTATAAACAAACCTTTAAGATAAAGAATATATAGGAAAGATTTTACCTACTACTGAAGCACATTCAGTACCCACACGCCGGGGTGGGCCACAGCAGCTGCTTAGTAGCAAATTAAATATACCACCATAGGTTAGGGCATGCACGATATTTAATTGAAATATCAAGAGGAGGAATTTAACTAAGTAGGATAAGGTGTTTTGTATTCAAATGACAGAATATCCACTTCTGACCCTCTCCCCTCCCTCCATACACACCTCCATGATTACCTTTGCTTCCTCTGTGAGCCAAAACAGCTATTGCTAAATGACGCTGTGAAGTAAAAAGGCAGTTTAAGTTTTGTTAAACTTAAGATACATTTTATGAGTATATTTTCAGTGTCATGAACGTACTTATGCAGATACTCCCCTGTGAGCTGTACCCAAAAACAAAACTATCTGCAATCAAAGCCCAAGCTAAGTGCAGTGCCAAGTAGTAAACACAATATACGCAGTGATGAGTAACCAGATTTAAACAGTTCGCTCAGTTTTATTCATCTACGGTGATTATAGTAATAGGTTTGAATACAGAACGTAATGAAGGAATAACACAAAAAACACTTTGGGGACTACGACTTTTCCTTTATGCTTTTAACATACTCTTGCCACAATGTTTACTTCATGAAGAAATAATTTCATTTGTAGTTAAAGTTTTTACATAATAGGTTTTTTAGTTTTCATGTTGTTTATACTTGAAAGAAAGGAAAAATATTTTTTTATAAAAGATGACCTCAACTATGTTACTGAAAAGTTGCGATGCTCCCAGAAGTTATTGGCAGTGGTTTGCCGATCAGTTGATGTGGAAATACTGTCAGCTCAAAAAGGCGGGGGTTATTGTTAGGGGGTTGGGGCAAGGGGGAGGTGCAGGGAGATCCATCCTAGCTGCAACGAATCCTTTTTTAAAAGTGGATAAAATAATCCTGTAAAAGTATATAAAATAAACTGTACAGAGATCTTTGCTGGCAGTAATAGTTCTCAGACTGTCAGATGAGAAATGAATGAGTATTATGCACTTAGATCAATTTTAAAGACAGTCTGTTTTGGCTCAATTTATTGTCAAGACATTGACACCAAATTTTTTTCTCTTCCCTTAAATGAAGCTTTTAGCATGCAACCTGCAGAGAAAAATGTAGCAGGTCTATTCTAGCCATTCATTGTGTGACTTGAGGATATAAATTCAATCTTTCCTTTTTTTTATTTTTTTTAACTCTTGCAGGTAAAGCCTTGGAAGGAAAAATAACAGTCCAGAAAAACAGGAAGGATCCACGGTCCCTCATTATAACTCTTTCAGTGAACAATATAAAGCAGACATACAGTCTGCAGTGAAAAGTGAGTTACACATACATCTCATGTAACTGCTGTAATCTGTATTCTGGACAAGCAAAAATGATGCATATTTGGTTCCAGATCAGAGTGAGTTTTAGTAGGAATTGATTGGCATACATTATAGAGTGAAACATGCAATACACCAGTTCTGAGCCCCTTCCATAGCTGGGAGGGGAGGGGAGGAAAGGAAAGTATCTCTAATAAAGCAAATTGTTAGAAAATGTCAGATGCAAGTTTGACAATATTCTGACAAAGAATGACAAATAACAAACACTCAGTTTTATTTAGAACATGGTTTATTCTTGCTGTGCCAGCTTACAACCCTTGCAACAAAAAAGAAGTCTTGTACAGTTTCTTAGCATAGGTGAAACGAAAAGTCAAATCATGTCCAGATTCTGTATAGTTTTCATTTGGAAACCCTTGGTGGACAGAAGTACTTCAGGATTTGGCCACATTCCTGTGTTGGTAAAGACTTTGTTTTTACAGCATTTCTTTTACTCTGTGAAGTATTAGCAATATTACATTGTATTTGTCAAAAATAAACCATCAAAGTACTGTTGTCTTAATTTGTACTGTTCATTTATTAGATCATTCACAATTCTGATATCGTCAATGGTTTCCTCTTGTCATTACTGAGATTTTTTTCCCTGGGCTGCATTTGGGTAATACCGGTATTTTTCCTCGTCTCCTCCTTGTCCTCCATCGCACAAAATAGCAGACAGTTGTCATATCCTAGCCAACAGGATCTCATGCAGTTAGCATTAAAGTTCTACCTACCACAAAGCCCAGAGGCAAAAAGCTTGGAATTCCAGCCCTTACGAACGTGGGCTGAATCTAAATAGGTTCATCTCAAGGCAGCGCTGATAGGCTTCTTACAAACAAGCATTGATTACGGAGCCAAAATTGCTACTGGGGTCTTCCTGGCTGAACTTGTAACGAGGCCAGTGTTGTAGACATACGTTGCCATTTCCCCCTTTGCTCTCCTTTTGTACGCTTATGTTTTTCAACAGCAAGGGGAAAATATTTATATATTTACGTAATCATATAGTCTATTTATTTATTTATTTTATATGAGGTTTGTACACAAGATGAAAATTTTATCCTGTGTGAAAACTACTATAAGCATCATTTTCATTACTTATTGGCATACATTCTTATAAATGGGAAACTCCAAAGTTTCCAGGCCAATTTTTTTCAAAAGAGTTGACTCATTTGAACTGGAGGCAAGAATTTCTCTCTCGTGTGTTTCCTGGACAATCACGGTTACAACATCATCCAGCGCTATTATTAATTCATTTAGGTAGCTAAGAGCAGTTAATGCTGAACATTTCTTGAAGTCCAGCTACAAGTTAAGATGATGGTTTATAACTGAAGTAATGCAGTGGAATGTATTGTAAACAAGACAAACAAGCAAATCTGATCCTAAAATTCAGAAAAGACTAAAGATTTAACCCCTGCAAGACTCTTCTCTAGATAGGAAATTTGTTCACTTTTTCCTGTATTGTGCTGATTTTATTTTTCATTAGAAACTGCTATTCCCCTGTAGTTGACAAAAACTGGCACCCCAAATCTGAGGGTAGTTGCTGGTATCAATCAGATCAGTTTATAGGCAGTCACAACGCAGTTATCAGGCGGGCTAAATACAGACAGTTAAAAAGCCCAAGGCTGAATCAGTTCAATCTTTGCAAGTTAGTCTAAGCTACGTAAATTGAACTGTGATAAGCAAGTGAACAGACATTTGCTCTTGATTCTGGAAATGGAGCCACATGCCTATAAGTAGTCCAGGCCAGAAACAAGAGGGCGCTGGAGCATCCCTTCTTGCTCAGCTGGAGCAGACAGCTTGGGCCAAGTTAGCCCACCCACCCTGTGAGGGAGAGGGCTGTAGGGGAGGTGCAAAGCATCCTGGGAGGCTGGGGGACTGAGTTAACTGAGTTTGATTAAATCAGTTTATTGAACTTCTGTCCCAGATTCCTTCCAGATTCAAGTTAAGTCTGATATTACATCCATCCAGGTTTATCTTAAGCCAGTTTGGGACCTTTTGAAAGTGGTTTATGTGCACTGAACTTCTATAACCCAGCATGTAACTGGCCTCAGTGAAATTTGTTTGTGTTAGTCAGGTTTAATGAAAATGATCCTCGGCTATGGAAATGTACTTAGTTTTTCATCTGTGGTAATCTATAAGCAGAGAAAGTACAAAAGAGTCAAGACTTACGTTCTTGATAATGCTTGACAAGTATGAAGTCTATGCCAGCATATGGTTAGTGGAACTATCTTTATAGTCTGCTAGCATCTGGAACATGTACCAGATAAAAGGAAGGTAGGTAGATGCAATGGTATGTTTACAGCTGATCCAACAAGTGAGATATAAGTACAGGCAACCCTTGCTTTACTCTGTTTCGCTTAGCGCTATTTTGCTATAACCCTCATTTTACATTGATACCTGATTCCACTTAGCCCTCAGTGAGTTTCATTATAACACCCATGAGCAGTCCTACATTGGTTTTGCTTAATGCTATTCGGCGTAACGCTCGGTTTTTCGGGAACCAGTTAAGAGCACTAAGCGGGGGTTGTCTGTATGAGCAAATTTGAGTTTATTCAGAAGAGGCTGAAGTAGTAACTACTGCAAGATACTTCCAGATACTTTTACTAATGTATTAACCTTTCTTTATTGTGCTCATTTATCTTTTGAGTGAGCCAGGTTGTGTTGAATCCTGATTGTTAGCAATATGTGGGTTTGAGTTTGAGTTCATTCCTCCTGAATAAATGTTCTGATTTATGTTTGTAAATGCAATTTTAGAACATCTGTAAGCCTTGGGAATGAAATCCTCAATGTTCCATTAGTTCATAGGCCCCCAGGAAGCTGACTTGCCTACTTTAATAGGCCAAGCTGAATGAAAGTCAGTTTAAATTAAATGAAATGCAGTTTGTTTAACACATGCACAGCTTTATTTTAATTTTTAAAAAATCTTTACTTCTAAAAAAGAATAGATTTTTAGATGATTACCTTCACAATATGTATTGTAACTAAATGCAATTCTAATAGAAAGCTACTGTAAACTTTTATGCATATACCTCAATTCAGTATAAAGGTATTAAAGACTTAAATGCATGAGATTTGAAATTAACTTAAGTGTTGACTATTAAGTCCATAGTTTTTAGCAATAACAAGGATTCTCTCTCATATATAGCATGCCTGTGTGTGTCTATAACATACTTATATCTAGAATTGTGTGTGTGTATATGTTTGTGTGTGTGAGAGAGAAAAATGTGTACACAATATTTTGTGGCTTCTTTTAAATTTTTCTATTGAAGATTTCCAAAAGAAAATGAAATTTGGGAGGTAGTAATGGACTTGGTTAACTTTCCCAACCAAAAACTATTAAATAAATACATAACATCTTCAGTTGGGGTGTGATAAATATTTTATTCAGTCCCTAACCTTAAGCCATTACTTGAAAAGTTAACTTTTTCATGAGAAAATTAAAACTAGGATCCCCAAGAATATTGTTTTCAGTTGTGGTTAATGATTAATTTATTTAATGGTTCAAAGACAATGTAGGCTAACAGATTGGTCATGTGGTATAGTAACTACACATTTTGAGGATAAAGTTGCCATATTTAATTATCTTTTTAGTGGCCTATAATTATGTTATGGCCTTCACAGCCCCCAGAATAATAAATAGTTTGATAAAATCATTTATTATCTGTTAACATTCTTTGCAATAAAGTACAATTTGCTCTGTTTGTAAATACTAAGTCCTGGAACCATGTAGAGCTGTTTGAGCACAGAACTGATTAGAGATCAGATCTCTAATCCACTGGCTAAGTGTGCTGCCAATAAAAATGTAGTTATCTATGGCACTTACAAATTTGTGTGTGTGTGTGTGTGTCAATAATGTGTAGCATGTGAGATCCAAGACCTCTATCACCATACTTTTGTTACACTCGGTGGTTAAATCAAGGAAAACAAACATCTCCCCATCCACCAGGACCTCAACCATGCCCCTCACCATCCTCTCAAGTCGTGCAAGCCCTTCTGGATCCACGCACTTAACCTTCAACAATGTAACTTCAACACTGATGAAGCTTAGAAAACTGAATGGTCCCAAATACACATCTCATGATAGAGTCAACGCAGAAGGTCCCTGGCTTTGATCTCCTGTGATGTTCATAGGCAACTCTAAATCATATCCTCACAAACCATGGGAGATGTGGATACTTGATGCACAAATGAAAAATTAAAAACTCTCCAGTGCACAACTGTGGTCACCCAGTCATAAGATCACTCCTTGGATAAACACTAGAGCTTGCTTATGTTTAGTTTGACTAAGGTGTTCAAACTTCTGTGTCTAAGTCTGCGCACCTTTCAATATAAGTTGCCTGACATATAGCAGTGCTGCGGCCTCAGTGCTCCTGCCTCTTGTTCAGGTGCTAAACTACAGCACCCCAATCTGAAAATGTTGAGCTGTGTCTTAGCGGTAAACTTCTTGATCTGTGGCTCCCGAGTGTTTGCCCAGCCAAGCTGCAAAATGAATTTCCTAGTTTCTCTTCAGAGAGAATGGAAGCAAGACATTAATGTGGATGCAACTCCAGGTCCTTCATTAGCAAATGTCTCTTCAATGAGCGTCATGCTGGGGTCCCTAATAGGATTTTTTTTCATGTGCGCCTCAGTTTGCCCTTGCTCTCTACTCTGTTGTATGGTGCTTACTCTAATGAGATGTATCTCCTGTGATCAAGAAAAAGAGACCTTTTTATCTTCAAATAGACAAAGCTCTGAGAGGAATTTGGAAAGGTGGTAAATCTGTTACCTGACTTGTTACAGGATATATTCCCTAACAGACATTCACATAGACTGCAAGTAAGATTGCAAGATAGTTTGTTTTGGTTTCAGGAGAGGTACATTTTAAAATGTATAACTTGTTTGGGAGTTGCCATTATCTTCTATAACATCTAGTTTAGTAATGCATGAAGCTCTCTGCAGTAATGATTCTAAACATTTTATGTGCTTGGTTAAATTTTACTTGGAGGAAAAATATCTGCCACTGTATCCAGTGGGATTTGTGGTGTGCCACTGCAGCCTTACAAGCACCTGGTTATGACTTCATCTCTGGAGGAAATCTGATGAGCCTAAATTCCAAGAATTAAATTCAGAAGAGTAAAAAATGCAAAGGAAGGGTTACAGCTGAAGGCTTGGGAAAGGCCTGATACTTAAGCCACTTCACTAATTGCCTGTTGGAAAACCATTTCTGTTCAAAAACATTTGATCTTGAAAAATATGAAGGAGAAGTATCCAATTTACAGCAGCTTGTCTACTATTGGTTATAGAATATAATAAGGTTTGCTGCATTTTAGATTTTCCCCAACACAAAAATAATCCAATATCTTTCTTTTGAGATGGTACCTGCCTTTTATGAACATGAGCCAAAGTTTTGGGTAAAATAGATTTCCAGTAAATTTGAGAGAGAGTTTGTGCCTTTAAAAGTTAAATCTATATACTACAGTAATATAAATGTAGACAAATTAAAGTGAAGAGAACTGTTTGAATAGTTCC